GGGGGGGGGGCTACAAGGATCTGTTTGGGTTTGGAGCAGGACACTTCAGGGACCTATAATATATGCCTAAAAATAACATGATTGGAGACCTTTAATGTCAGTAATGAAGTTTCATGTTGATAAACACTCAATTGTAAACCTGACGTTCTGATTGGCTGTGCAGTGGACGGCGGCTGGGGGGCGTGGTCTCAGCCCGGGCCGTGCTCCGTCTCCTGTGGGGAGGGGCTCCAGCTGTCAATCAGGACATGTGATAGCCCCGCCCCCAAATATGGAGGACGATTCTGCGACGGACCGAGCGCCAAGAGCATCGTCTGTCAGAGTCCCTGTCCGGGTAACACGCACACACACACGCACACGCACGCACGCACACGCACACACACACACACACACACGCACACACGCACGCACACACACATTTCTTTAACATTTGAAGTAATAAATCAAGAGAGAAGTGGAAACCTTTCCTTACAGACTTCTATACCCTCTCTGAGTCTCTGTGTCTCTGACAGTGGACGGGTTCTGGTCCGGTTGGTCGGTTTGGGGCGAGTGTTCCTCTTCCTGTATCCCAGAGGGCCAATCGGCTGTCAGGACTCGTCACCGCTTCTGCTCTAACCCCGCCCCCTCCTCCAGTCCGCCCGGAAACAGCTGCAGTGGAGAGGACACGGAGACGTCCACCTGCACGCACCTGCCTCACTGCTCAGGTAACCCTGTTCTCCTGGGGTTATTATTACCTTGTGGTGATTGACATTATTCACCCACGGATCTATGGGTTGTGGTATTGTTCCGCACGGACATTTTAGTTAACCGGACTTCCTGTTTCCGCTGGTCTTCGCTTCCCGGGCTTGAAGCTGTTTAAATGTTGTTCTGATGCTAAATGAAAGTCTAGCTTCTTTGATACCCCGTCTCTCTGCACCACATTGTATCACGTCGGGGTCACCAATTCTTTTTTTTGTGCTTAATTTAGTTTCTTACCTGAGGTCGAGGCGGGGTGTTTAAAATAGAAAACTGAAAGTGAGCATTATGTTTCTGTACCTGTCTTATTCTGTAATTATATATTTTGTACTTTTATATAATACTCAAAATATATAAAAAAGATTAAAAATGTTTTAAAGATGTGTCTTTAGCATGCGTTTAAATTAGCATATGTAACCAGAGCACCATGTGTCTGTCTCTCAGTGGACGGAGGGTGGGGGTCCTGGTCAGAATTCTCTCCCTGTCCTGTTACCTGTGGGGTGGGGCTCCAGCTGTCCGTCAGGAGGTGTGATAGTCCCGCCCCCAAACATGGCGGCCAGCCCTGTGCTGGAGGGGGCAGTCGAACCAGCGTCTGCAACACCAACGAGCACTGTCCAGGTGAGCTGCACGTCTACACTCTCTATAACTCACATTTCTATAACGACATTTAAACTTGCTTATAATCAACTGTGTGCGCGTGTGTGCGTGTGTGTGTGTCAGTGGACGGGCTGTGGTCCCAGTGGTCCCAGTGGGCCCCCTGCAGGGACCCCTTCAGAGGAAAGGACATCCGCTGCTTGCACATCGGAGGGAGTCAGAGCCGCGAGAGGAGCTGCCTCCATCGAGCCCACAACGGCTCCATCTGCAGCGGGGAGGCCCTCACCGAGACCAGGGTCTGCTACGACGTGGACAAGTGCTACAGTAAGACACACACACACACGGGGGGGGGGTTGGGGGGGGACTTTACTGGCAATGATTCCGACCAGTGACCTTGTATACAATTCACAAGTGGACCTTTCATCAAAGGGTTTGAGTAGCCCTGCTCTAAAGGGTGAGGTGGTGTCTCTGTGTTGCAGTGAAGGGCACCTGGGACGGATGGGAGCAGTGGAGTCTCTGCTCTCCGCCCTGTGGAGGAAAGCCTCAGCGCTTCAGGAGGAGATTCTGCAAACCGGACTACAGCGACTACAGGTCAGTGTGACATCACTTCCTGTCCCCTGGGCTGGAGGTCAATGGTTCGCTAAATGTGTTCAGGCACAGGCTAAAGAGATTTTAATTGTAGTGTGTGTGTGTGTGTGTGTGTGTGTGTTCTCAGACCTACCATCGGTCGTCAGAAGGCAAAGGCGACCTTCTTCGGGAAGCCTCAGGCGGACTGCCGCTTGCCGCCCGAAGGAGGGCTGAAGCTGGAGGTCCAGCCGTGCCTCAACGTCCCCGCCTGCACCTGAACCCTCTGCTGAGTCACTCTCTTCAGGGTTCATTATGAGAGCATTTCATGGAAGCAATGCTCTCGTCTTTATTTGATCCCTGAAACACAATTTTAATAAATGTATTGTTTTCTTCACGATGGTTTCCTTGTGTGGTGTTTATGTGTCATATATCCTTTCTACATCAAAACTCATACTGTCTGTCAGGGAATCCTTCTGCATGTGTACCTTTCGCCCTCTGACACAGATGCTCCACCTCGAGCAGCTGCTATCTCCGGAGGGGCTGCTCTAGCAAGTTGTTGTTGCTACCAGTTTGTGACCGGGCAGCTCTCGGTCACTGATAGTTATTGTTGTGGGACACCTGGAACACATCCTTCTCGGGGTGTAGATGACCCCGAGCCATAAGAGACAACGAATGTGATTCAGTGTCCTCAGCTGTTTGGTCTCTCTCTTGAATAATGTTGATTATTACACTCTGAACTAGTTCAAACCTGGAGCTACAGGAGGGGTCATCTCTACCGTGTGGTCAGACCGTGGCCCGTGACATGTCTTGTGAATTCTCCGGCCGAAGCTCCAAATAAACCGTCAGTGTTTGACATCAAAGCTCCAGCTCTCCTCGTGTCTCTGAGTCCTGACTCCATCAGAGCTCCAGCTCTCCTCGTGTCTCTGAGTCCTGACTCCATCAGAGCTCCAGCTCTCCTCGTGTCTCTCTGAGTCCTGACTCCATCAGAGCTCTAGCTCTCCTCGTGTCTCTGAGTCCTGACTCCATCAAAGCTCCAGCTCTCCTCGTGTCTCTCTGAGTCCTGACTCCATCAGAGCTCC